CAAATTTAAATTCAGCTCAACCCCGCTTCTAGCCAATGATATTCACGTTCCTACACTGCTGGCCGTAAAGAGACCAATCGGAGTTGAGAAAATGGATATCTGAGAATTCCATTGGTTTATTGCCTGAACGGTATCCATTTGGCAGCTCAAGCCCTGTTTGCCATATGGAGCACATTTGCGTGGGTTGGATGACCTAGCAAATAAGTGAATGCATCACATGGTGCCCATTTGCTGAATTTTGCACAATTTGCATTTTATGTCGTCGGTAGGTAACTGTCTTTGATTTGCTCAGTGTACATTTCATCCATTCCGGTTTGCTTCGAGCTCTCAAATAGAGTCACCATAGTACATAGAGTCGATGCTCCTGTTATTTGGCCGCTGTGCTTGAAAATGCAGAGTTGTATGGCGTGCGGATATGTGATAGCTAGCTGAGTTGTCAACGACGAATGCAGGCAAATGAAGAAGAATTCTACTGTAGAGCAAGGGTCGATTGACAGTCATTTCCACAGGTTCAGTCGGTCGCTAAAAAGCCAACAAATTACCTCGTTTCAGATGTATGGCATTATGTTTTTTTCTGGAAAGCAGTTCAATAAATTTGGATAAATTTTCACTTAGTTGGAACAAAGGCTAAATTTAAAGAGAGTGCAAACTCATCTGAAACCAATTTTATTCGCGTTTCCATGGTGATTGTGCACAATACCAGCCGTGAAGTGGTCAGTCGGCTTGGAGAAATCGGTATCTGAAAACGCCATTGGAAAATTGTCTGATTGACATCCATTTGGCAACCTCATCTCAATTTTCCACGTGGAGCATTTTGCGTGGGATGGATGATCTTGCATTCATGTGTGTAGATGAGGAGTGAGACTATCAGGTGCCTCATTGAATGGATGGGGTGGGCACTGCCCACTCGACGAGATTCTGGATGTATGAGAAAGAGAAATTGTGAAATGTGTTGGTCTAGAGTCGACTTAAATTAGCCTGTATGAGCAGGTGTGCTGATGGATGATGTTGGGTGGTCAGGTACACAGAAGATATTCCTACAGGAGCTTTAGAACATATCTTGATGGTCGTTTCATTGGTTTCAAAAGCTGGACAAGCATTTGTATAGACTGCCACCAGTTTGCTTATTGCAGGCACTTGTGCGAGTACTTCTGCTGCGTTTACACTAATTTGCTAACTTCATTTTATTAAGCAACCTGCCTCTGAGAGTATCTTTAATCTCAGAAATAAGAATTTGCTTTCTGTTAAATGGGTTTCAATAGGAAAATTTTTGGATTCATACGAGTAAATGCATCAATAATTTAAATTTTCCAGGGTAAAAATGACCGAACTATATGTAGCTGGAAATGATAATTGTACGGCATGGAGCAGAGGAACGCAAAGAAGGAACAAATGTCGGGATGAATTATAGGTGCATAAATGGACGAAAAGAGGTATGGGCGTGGAGATGAAATAGAGGTGGATAAATGGATAAATAGGAATGCTACGGATTGTTGGATACAGGGTGAAGGTATGGATAATGGATGAAATAGGGATTCTGGCTGGATGGATGGATGGATGGATGGATGAATAAGGGCTGGATAAATACGTGATGTCGAAAGAGTCTTGTGACATGCCCTGCCACTTCTGATTGACTGGCAGTGTCTTCAAACAGATTGCATTTGATAAAACATTTCTTCCTTGACCAAATGCTTTACAATGAAATTCTTCCCATTTTGCCTTCATCATAACCTCCCAACTCAGCTTGTTATTACATGCACGCACGCTCCCCGACCCTACCCTCTCATACATAGCGGTCTAAAGGGACATGTCCAGCGACATCTTGTCTATTAAATGCCCTACCTGTGATCTTGACTTGATCCGGTCCCGAGGGCACAATCACCAGCTTTTTGTAGGCGATGCAGTACTAGATCGTGCATGCATCTTACCTTGGAACACTACTCCAGCATCCGTTTTCCATCCATCCATTTATCCCACTGCTCAGCCTGATGGAGTTGTTAACACGTGCGAGGTGTTATAACTGTCTCCCTTGACCCACTGCACTTCGTTGCGCCTCTAATAGATGGCATTGCCCATGCAATAGTGACTTTCCATCATGACTTGAGAGGAAAACAATCGGTTAACCCAAACAATAGAATGTCCATCAATGTTGATGATGGACAACTGAAGCTCCCCATACAACTATAGTGTTCTGTTCCCTTCCAAAACACCCTGCTCAATGACGTCTCTTACTCGTTTTGGCGGATGTCTTTCAAAACCTTCGGCGGTGAATCCCACCAACAAACTACCAGTTTGCTTATACTTCACTGTGCCCAACTTCCATGAATCCTGTGGTCAACAAGGGGTTTTAGGGACCTTGATTATAGTTTCCTTATAGTTCGCAGAGACGAGAATCCACTTCACTCTGTGTTATTTCCATGATTACTTTTGCCAACATACCATTACACACATTCGCCTGTTGTCCCTTAAACATCAATCAACAAATCAAGGGAAGAGGCTCGTCAACGCATTTAAACGAGCGGGAATGAAGTGAAGGGGGAAGGAGGCGACTGTTGACGTCACCGAATGACTGCTTGACAGAACACCGATCACTAGTCATGTTGTTAATACAAAGCCAACCCAGATTGTTCACCACAGCCATGGTCTCATGGCTTTACACACCTTTGTGGAAGGTGTACTGAAACTCCAATTAAGATTCCAGACAGACACCGATGTCCGCTCCCGTGTACATTGGTTAACATATAATCCGTTGTTTAATAAGAAGCTTTGTGCCAACGTTGCAAAGCTGTCTGTCAACAACGGAAAGGCCGTGGTGGTGAGGCACTGCAAACTATTACGCCTGCCATGCCCCCCAGAATCGGCAGCCCAACGTGTTAATTTACCAGTGAACATACTGCTAAACAAAGTCGGGATGGCATCCCTGAATGCAGCATCTGCTTCACAGAATGACATGGAGGAAATTCTCCTTGTGCCGTCTTGTAAACACTAACAGCATTCCTATAGCCAAAAGCGCAGTGGGCATCAATTTCTTTTTGGCCCTAAAAAAACGTAGTTACCAATTTTTCTTCAGTGAGGGAAAGAGCTAAGGATTGGTGCATTCGTAGGAATTGTTGCTGCTTCTACTTTTAAGAAGTTTCTACTCTCATGAGTTCTTTCGTATTGTTTGCGACATCCTGCTCTTGTTCACTTCCTCCTACTTGTCAACTACCAAGCTCAAAGCTAGTCAAAAACTGACTGACAGCTGGAACGCTTGAACACACAGCACCTGCGTACCATCCATACTCATCGGTAAACACTGACAAGTGGATTAAAGTGCTCCCCAATGGAGTACTTTATTTCTGAGCTTGACAGGTTCGACTTGATTCAACTCCACGTGGATAGATGGGCACCAGTATGCAACTGAGAAATTGAATTGTGAATGAGTGGATGGATTGATGGTAAATCTAATGGAAAGTAGATCGGTCTATTACTGATTTTCCTCATCATCCTGATGGTCTTATGAGTCATGGTGTACTTCAATGGCAAACTGGTACACGAAACGACAAACATCTCTTTAACTGGTTCCTATCTATGTACATAAATGACATCTTACTCGTTTATCTCCATCCCAAATTTTACCCATTTCCAACCACTATATCAGGTGTTAGAATGAAGGCAGGCAAGAAAATTCATCTGTAAAACTTGGCATTAAATACCTTTCAAATGCTAACTCGTATATTATCACTGAATGCAAGCAGAATGTGAACGTTTGTTGAATTTAACAGCAAAACACAATGAGCATATCAAAGCGAGCTATCGACCAATCCCATGAAATGCAAACTGTGCAAAATTCTGCAACTTGGCACAACGCAATATAATCACATACTTTCCAGATCATCCAACCCACGCAAACGTTCACCAAGTGGAAAAGTGAAATTGGGTTGCCAAAAGGATGTCAATCAGATAGTTAACCAATGGCATTTTAAGGTACCCCTTTCTCCACTCCAATTGGTCTCTTTGCGGCCAGCAATGTGCACAATTACCGTGGGAACGCGAATAACATTGGCCAGAGATGAGGTTGAGCTGAATTTAAATTTGACCCTCGTCTGCCTCCACTTCATATTTCATAGGCTGATTCTGTATATTAACGAAGGTGAGTTCTTTGCCTATTCCGCTCTTATCTAAATAATAAT